CAAGAAATGAAAAATGGCCCTCAATTATAAAATTCAAGGAAAAAAAAATTAATATTAAAATAAATAAATAAATGCTGTAAAATACCCTGTAGCAAAAATTTAATTAATAAATCAACATAAAGAATATGCATATTTGAGAACTAAAATAAATTAGTTTTTAGCTCCTTTGAGTAGCTCTGGGAGTAGGTCTAAGTATTTTTTAAATTATTAATATTATTAGATATTACTATATTTGCGGTCAATTATTAATATTATTCTCCTGAAGACGGTTGAAGCAAGTCAACCGAAACGTCGAGATATTCTCAACCAACAACAACAGTTCTTTTCAGAACTATCTACGTGGTGTACCACAAGCATTAATTATATATTATACTTCGCCATGCAAACCTTCAAACAATATTATTATTATTATTATTAATGGCTCTGATGGGAGGCTCTAAAACATTGATTCGGCCCCAGTTTTGAACGACGAACTTGCAGGGAATGTTATAAACCATTTTCGTGAAATTTGAAATAAAAATTTCCAATAACGTGGTGACTACCAACTATGGTGACTTACTACAGAGGCCTAGCATTTCGCAGTACGTATTACTGTCATGGATAACATCATCTAAATCTAAATTGCTAACGAGCACAAACATTTTAAAACGGAAAAAAAACACGAAATGTTTATATTGAAAACAAGTCCAAGTATTATCTATTTTTTAAAAGAATTGGAACCTCTGGATGGCCAGAAATGACACTCTCAAGAATGTGACATGTCACTCTCAAGGCATGTCACATTTTTATTTTTTTATTCCGACGACCTGTCAAATTGGGGGGGGGGGTCCTGATGTGGTTTGGGATGTATGTAATTTTGTAATCTAATACACTGTGATTGTGTAAGTGACAACTAAGTACAATTCAATTGGCCAATTTTTTTTAAAAAAGATTTTTTATTGGTTAAAAATCTATGCTGTAGCCAATAAATAAAAGCCTTTTGTTTGAAATGCCATATAAACAACAAGTCTAAAAGTCCAGGTGTTATTTATCTCTTGTTTATTTGGGAATAATCATCTATTTTATGGAATAAATACAGAGTTCCTTCATTATATTAAAGTTTTGGTTTGTTTATTTAGTTATGTAATCAGAAACTACAGTTACACCTTATTTTACGGAAACCTTAATTTGTTTATTTGTTATTTCATTTGTTTTATGAAATGACAATAATAATAATAATAATAATAATAATAATAATAATATTGGCAATAAATTTTTACAATACTGTAACTTACAAAGCAACTTTAAAAAAATGGTAACATTGCATGCGTTAAAAAAGATGATGTTAAATTAGTATTAGAAACTTTTTAGTAGGAATACATATATATACAGTACAGCAAAATGTACACTAGTCAGCGAGTTCGTCAAACAAGGTATAAAAAAAAGTCTCGCCTTGGGAAGCATCTTTTTAAAGAAAATAATTAATTTCATTTAAAAAAACACAAGTTACTGATTGATTAAATAATTCTATTTTAAATAAGAAATGATTATGCACAGTTAAGGTAACATAGGACAACATTTAAAAGATCATTATATTAGTGCTACTGAAACTGTTAATTATTTCAAGGTTTTATCTAAGTGCAAATCCAAGTTTGATTGCTTAATTAAAGAAATGCTTTAAATAAATTATTTTAGTATTAATAAATGCATGATTTATGTTGATTTATTGATTATGTTGTTGCCATTTTTTAACATTTAAATGGAAAAAAATAAATAGTGTTATTCATGGCTTTTTTTTTATCTTTGAATATTTTATCATTGAATATGTAATTTCTGCAAAAAGTAAAATGTAAATGGCAATTTATTTGATGTTAGATTCCTTTTAAAAATTATTTCAGTTTAAAAAAAATGCAAATAATGATTTTTTTTAAAATCAGTTTTAATACAGAATTTTATTATTGGGGGCCATTTTTACCTACCTGTCATTTGGGGCCATTTTTTTTCCGGGGCCATTTTTCCCTGGGCCTTTTTTTTCCTGGGACTTTTTTTCCGGGGCCATTGTTACCGTACACCATCTAATCTAAACACGCAATATTAGGCAGGATGTATTTGTTTGGAAAAGAACCCACTCTTTTGTGAAATTAAGAGGTTTATAGGTGAAAATTGTAAATTTAGAAATAAGTTTTATCAATATGTGATTTTTTTTTATTTCTTCATGAGGAAACTTCACCATTTACCAAATTTTCAATTTTTGAACCAGGTTTTGCTGATCTCTTCTTATCTATTTTAATTACTGCTTCAGGCAATATTGTAACAAGATTAACAGTGAAGCTCATTAGTTGTGAATAGTTCATAAGAAGACTAGCACAATTAAATCAAAAACCATGTTGTAACTTCTAACATAAGTCATTGATTTTTAAAATTCAAAAGCATATCTATTATGATTTTTATCTGAAATTATAGATAAGGTAATAAAAATGCCAAATTTTTTTGAACAACAGGTTTTTAAAATTATCCA